GGTCGACTGGACGTTTCTTACGCTTCAGTGTCTTAAGCACATATGAAGGGTGAGTATTAAAGCTCGGGATAAATACTGTAGGCGGGTAAGTTTTAACTTCCGTGCCTTCCGACGATGGAAACATGCTATTTCTTTTAGCTTGACTTATGCAGGCGTTTACGCCATTTTTGAGTAAAGGATTTTAAATAGTCTTGATTATCGAAGCATCTAAAGTCAACTCAGCGATTGTACCGTCTATAAAGCGTGTACGATAGCATGTATAGCCTCCTTTATCCGTTCTCCATATAATGTCTTTAAATTCAGAACGATCAAGAGGGGCATTAGAGTCGTGTCTTCTTGCGAGAATAATCTCAGTAGTCGGAATCCGACTAGTGCTTATATTTAAGCAATACTCTGCTCTCATTTTGGTAGCATTCCATCTATTTTGCCTTTTTAATAAAGCAATATTGCGTGTTTCTCGCAAGCAAGGATATACAACGTTACAAATACGATGTGCCTCTTCTAAGCATGGTTACTCATGGTGATTAGGTTCGTCCTTGTTAAAAGGTATTTGTAACTAACTATATCTGCCACGAAAATAGTGAGCGGGTGTAGTACCTGTAACCGGATCAGCACACTCGTTCATCTTTGTGCGGTTTTTATGGCATACTTCTCTTATGGCATATGCCTGATACGAGTACTAGCGATTCCATTATGTCATCCCCAAACTCACTACCGTTATCAGTACACATAATACCTGGCCACCCGTGGTCAGCAAAGACTTGGCAACATAACTCTGCCACGGTTTGCGTACTCTTATCCTTTAACGGATAGAGCAAGTTATACCGTGACGCCACATCAAAGAAGTGGCATACGTAACGGTCGCCTGTGTGCCCGGACGTGGGCAGGTCAACCAGATCAATGATGACCTTGCGCCATGGAACATCTTCAGTCGCACTCTTAAGCGGTGCGAACCCCTAGCGCTTAATCTGGTTGAGATCACAGTCTGTACATGACTGATGTACTCTGTCAACTAAAGTTGCCAGCTTAGGGTGGGCGATCCCATTTAGCTTAGCATCGTTAAGTGCGTCTACTACGTTCTGCTGCTTCAGCGTATGGTTTTGCGTGCTCCTTTCATGCTTTCAGCATAGTAGTAGCATTTTTAGCCTTCTCCAACTGATAATATTTATACGATGACGGCTTAAAACTTTGCTGTGCTGCTTCGAACCATATGTTCTTACGTAGATTTGTTGTGAGCATAATCTGACCAAAATCCTTCAAAGATCTAGATAACGCCGGACTGCTCGTATTGAAAAGACCATTGCGGTGTTTTTGATCAGGTCTGTATGTCACTGATAGTTGACTTCTATCCTTAACAAACTTCTTGCCTGCGACAGCCTTCTCCGTTTGAATTACTCGCAGTGTAGAAACAATCTCGGTATCAATCCTGCCTTGATCCATTGCTGCGAGAGATTCGGCCTCCGCTTTATTCATACGAACTGTGAATGCTACATTGCTGACAGTCTCGCTGAGAGACTGCGAGTCCTAACCTCATAACGTATGTGCGTCATGTTGACTTTGACACGTGTAACGGATATATTTTTAACGTTGCAACATATTTTGGTATATTGTGACCTGTGTATTGTGACTTGAATAGTGTACCTATTGAAAACCTTTCGGTCTCGATTTTTGATACTTTAGAATGAGTGTTCTGTTTTTAGGAGGCTATGGAAATTGGAATGAGTTGTCAGGACAAAAATCGGCCTATCCTGGAATTTGGCCCTACTATTATATAAACGGGATACTGAAATGGAAGTATACGTTTGATTTTCAGCGATTAACGGATCGCTTTGCTTGCGTTGCAACTTGTAACGATATTTATGAGGTTAGGCTGCGACTTCCGAACAGTAGTACGTTTCGAATAATCGAATGTCATCCACAAACAGGGGGAGCTCCCCAATATTTTAACCCAATTCGATTGGACAATATCATTATTGTCGTAGCACGGGCACCCTCAGGAGTATTTTTTTTTGGGAACTGGGGAAGTTAAAAAATAGTTAAAAAAAAATGAGAGGAAGTTGACAGTGACAGTGTGACACTCTCTTGACTTCAACCTCTTTGAGTCTTGAGTCTAAAAAAGGTATAAAAAAAAAGTTGTTCATAGGGATAATATTATTTATTTCAAACTGTTCATAGTGTAAGTGACATAGTAGACACTCTATTTACTACTATAGAGTTGAGAGTCTAGAGTCTAGACAGTTGTACACTTCTTGGACTGGGACTTATCCGATATATATATAAACGTTGAAACGGTTACATTTGGCGGGCCAAATTCTAGGTCAGACAATAGGCATATACAAAGTTTACTTTTGTCCTGCCACCACATTATTATAGCATCTATCGAGACCAAAAATATATAATATGGGTGCACTATTCAGGACACAATGTACAGGTCAAATTTTACATAGACATCTAAACGCCAGTTTTAGTTTACTGTCACCATTTTCATAATTTTAATTGGTTGGGTATTGTAAATACTTTCCAAAATACGTTGCAACGCCAAACATAATCCGTTAAATGTTGTAAAGTCTACCTTTTTTAGTTAGAATATAAATACATGATGTGAGGCTAACGACTAAATAAACGTTAAATATAAGGTGTGGAAGCTGGAATGTGGACTATTTATGGAATGTGTGGAAAGTGAAGACTGCTGGAGTGTGGGCAGTGGACAGTGCCCAGTGTACACTGTCACTGGTGAATGGTGAGTGGTGAGTGGTGAGTGGCTGAGTGGTGACCGGACTCATGGAACTGGTTTATTAGACATCAGTGGTTTTTACACTATGTTTAGTCGACAATATGTAGTAAATATATGTACAATATTGTAAATATTTACATACATATGTAAATACATATGGATGTTTTAGGGTATGTAAATACATATGTGTAATATATTTAAAAAAAAAGAAAAAAAAGAAAAAGAAAATTGTATGTACGTACGGATTTTTTTAAATTAAAATATGTATAACACGAGTCTTGACTGTTGAGTAAATATTGACTGAACTACTACTACTAGTAGAGAGCTCAAAGCTGAGTGCTGAGTGCTGGGCTGCTGACTGCTGTGAACTGCTAACTGCTGACTGTGCTATGTCGCTGACTGCCGAGTGCTGACTGCTGACTGCTGACTTCTGACTGCTGACTGTGGCCCACTTTCCTCCACTACTGTATAGTGTATAGTAGTATGTATTGTGGTTTCAGAAGTCTACTTCTTTGGGGGAAGTCCGGGGAGATTCCGTCTGAGCCCTCTGTAGGCCCTGTGCCGGCCTTGGGGGTGAGGTCCCGTTCGGTTCATCCCGCATCGCCAGTTCTGCTTACCAAAAATGGCCCACACGGAACTTGGATTCAGTGTCGCTCTCTTGCCTCTGTGGGGCAATCCCGGTGGGGGCTCTCCTAAGTCCTAACAGATAAGTGATCACCCATTTTTAAAATAATTAATACTCTGAACATGACCCTCTACTAGAGACGAAATAAAATAATATGCCTGATCGGACTATTGTCCGAAGGACCTCTGAACTTCTAAAAAGTCTGAGCCTCAGTCTGAGTCTCACTGAGACTCTTGAGTCTGGACCCTGGAGCTTTGAGCCCCTTGTGTGATAAAAGAGTCCTGTACAATGTCCAATATAAATAGTTAAAAATACATTCGATTTATGTACGTCATAGTAGCTAGTACATTACCCTGGGGGCCTGGGGGCCTGGGGGGCCTGGGGACCTGGGGGCCTGGGGACCTGGGGGCCTGGCATCCATAGACTACATGTAGCCTGTAGGCTTATTTGTAGTATGTTCATTATATTGTAAGGAAAAAAAACTTCCCCAAATAACTCTGCACTGTCTGGCGTCGGACTACACTACGTCAACCCGTTCACACACATGAGGGGTTCTTTTTACGGTCATAAATAACACAGCCAAAAGAAGTAGAATCGAGCCATTTTTAACATACATAGGGCTCTGATCCACTTATTTTACACAACAACCGTTCAACATAAAAACGTATTTTTAAAGAAAATAGTATATTATGAATAACACAATACAAAACAGACCGAGGTTATTACTCTCAGAGAGTAACGCAGTGGATCAGGAATCGGGATAAATATTTCTAAAGTAGATTCACTCTGTCATGGACTCTTGGAGTGGGGAATTATCATCATTCATATTTTAATATTTAAAAACCCATGAGAGTGTTCTATTTGTGATAAATAGTATTTCTATTTTCGAATTTCGAATATTGCTGGCCTGGAATGGTCAATACATCTTTCAATATTCAATATGTAAATATATACGACTTGACGCTGAATAACCCCATCACACAAACACACCGCAAGTAAGCTAGAGGGAGCTTCGTATTATTTGTTGTTTACAAGAATTTCCCGATAACAACATGCCAGCTCCAGTTTTCTGCCGTGGACAAGACTGTCCTCTGTACAAGAGCATTAAAGAAGTCTCCGACACCGTTGAGCTGAGATACTACGATGCTTCACATTGGATTTCATTCACCGAATGCGATGAGCACGGCGGTGGCGGCGGTGAGTTTATGAAGTTATTCCACTACATTGGTGGTGACAATGATATGAAAATGCGTATCCCCATGTCCACACCTATCCTCAAACAGCAAATTGACGAGAACTGTCACTCTATGAGCTTTTTTAAGCCCTTTTCTATCGCTGCCAAAGATCTACCTCAACCCCTTGATGCGGGTGTTCAAATCATCTCTCAGCCAGCTCAAGCATACTATGTACACGCATTTGGAGGGTACATGGATGACGCTAAATTCGATCAGAGTATGCAAGCATTTGATGCGGCTGGCATGGAGATCACAGACGATTCCGTATACAGCGCAATGGTGGCCCAGTACGATGCACGCTTTCAGCTATTCAACCGACACAATGAAGTGTGGATGCCAGCTTCTAACGTAAGTACAGTTTTATATAGTTCAATTCGAATTTGCTAGTATACTATGTAAGGATGTGTCCTGCAATGAGTTTTTCCCCGCGTCCTCACAAATGCAGGCTATTTTCCTCTCTTTGTGGAATGTTATATTCGAAAGGAGATCTTGCCATTGTTAGTCGTGTACTTTTGTTCTGCTTATGGGAAAAAATATTTGAAGCCGTACACTCTTGCGATTATAGTAGCTGAAGCAAACAGTTGAGTCCATTGGTCTATTAATCACCTTCAGTAAACCTTTGCGCAGTGTTATCATATCTTTAGTCGTGTTTGTGTTCATACTCGGACCTTTATCACCGGCACACTTTGATGGCAATCGTGCAGATTCTCTCACCTTGGCTGTGTATTTTTTTATTGCTAACTATACCTTATTTAAATACTGTATCCTATAGGTCTCCATTGATGAGAAGGCTATGCAGACCTTCTTCTCGTCTGCACAGGCCGCGTCCCACAGGCACCATACACACCACGCACACTCAGGTCCCCACCCCCCACTATGGGTGCATCTGCTTCATGTAGCGTTCACCGGTCTAGTCTTGATTGCTGTGTTCAGCGGACTTGTGTACTTAGTTGTTAGGGGAGTACGTTACTTGCAGAGAAGGTATAGCAAGAAGGACCCCACACAGCTTGACTACTTGCCCGTCTCGCAGAGTGATATTGACCTGGTGAACGCGGCTTTCTCTCTCGGGAACGAGAAACCAGAGGCAGAGAAAGCAGATAGGATCAATGCTTCTGGATACACAGCTTTAGAGTAGATCTCATGTAATGTTGTTGTCGCTTGCTCAGTAATATGTTGAAGCATGGAGCAAGTGACTTAAATATTTCTGCACAGAAATAGTATGTGCAGCGGAGCAATCGTCCTTAGTCGATGCTTTCACGTCTGGCTACATCGCGTGCGTCGGTGTAGATGCAGTAGATCGTTCTTCCGAGAAATTGGTTGTAATGAATCTAGCTGAATATAAAATAGGGGAACTGTAAAGGATCTGATTCCATATACACTATGTGGAACTCGGACGTACAAGTGTATGTGGCGGCAACCTTCTCTGGAGATGGTCGAGCAGCGGTACTGACTCGGTAGTATTCAAAAACATTATTTCTGCGTATACTGATATATTTCTCATTAAATTGAGACGAAAACGGTAACGCATGGAGTTCGGCCTCTTACAAGTTGCATAGTGCGGCACTGTAAGAGCTCTTGCAGAACTGAGTATATTAAAATATAAACTTTGAGAATAGCATAGTTACTGTGTAGTTGACGGTGATTTATTGATTGTATGTGCTGCTTTGTTCCTGAAAATTGTATGCGAAGGGACTGCCTGTCACGTGATAGCACTGTCCATGTTCATACATAATTTTTTCCTAAGAGATATATTGTACATGATCTGGAATCGGGTTCAGCGTATATATCGTACTGTTTTTCAAATATACGATTATCCATGAACGAACTTTTTTTTTTAACGTGCACGAGCCAAAATATGATTGTATATGGCAAATAAAAGTATATTTAGTACCGGCGTACCAACGTTTACACTTTCATACCCTCCAACCTCTCATGCTGAACTTCTACTACATTGGGAACTTTGAACAATATGCGCTTTGCGAAACATAAATACATAGTTATTCACACCTATCTAGACATGACATATCTCACGTACACCATAAAAACAGATGTATCTGATATATATATCTACAGTTCACTAGTATACTTTCATATTGTACAGATATACACGTATCGGATACGTTTATACAATCTTATACATATGTATGTGCTCTAATACAAGCACAATATACAGAGGTATAGATCGTCGTTTGTATATATACAAGAATACGACAGTTTGCTTGAATAAATTTGCGTACATATAATCGTACATAATAAATCTATTCAGCCGTC